GAAGAACCAGGCGATCTGGTCGAACTCTCGTCCCACCCCCACTCCTTCAGCAGCTGCTGCACACGGTACTCGGTCGCCCAGCCCAGATCCGACTCAATACTCCTCAACAGGCGCAAGGTAGTGCGGCGCTCGCGCGGGTCTGTCAGACACTGCCCGCTAACAAAGAGTGGCTGCAACGAGTTGATCCTGACGCTTCCGGCCGGGCGGGAGAGACCTATACCCACGATCTCGCGGCTATGGAATGCGATATCGGACTCGATAGAGCGATACGACTGGAGGCGAAGCGTGATGGTGCTCCGGCGGCTGGTGGACTCGTGCGGCTTGTTGATGAGCAACAGGATGCGCGCCATGTGGTAGTGCTGCATGGCGGAGGCGCACATGGGCAGACTGTACCAGATTTCCTGTAGGGTAGAGATGTCATCGTTTTCGTTGGGCGGGCGATGGTGTCTGAGATTGGATGGGTTCATTCGTGCACAGGGCTGAAATGTCTCTGGGATTCCGTTGTACCATGTGTCGAGCTCGGATTCGAGTCGGTACCACCGCTCCAGGAGGGCTTGTTGCGACACGCCCAAGGGACCCGGCATGGTACGGTGGTCGGTTAAGTGCACATTGTCACTGGAGCTTATGAAATTGACTATCTTGGAAATTATCCAGACTAGTCCGTTGCTGATCAGGTCTTCTTTCATTACGTCTTCGCCTTCCGGATATCCTGCTGCGCTTGTGTTGCTGGCACGGAGAAAGCCTGCGTTGTCAATAAGTAGACCTGCTTCGGTCCAGAGGACCGTGTCGTCCGTGTTCAGCCTTGTCTGGGATTCATTGATGACTTCATTTTGTCAGTAGAGGTTTGGATGAACCATTCGTCGGATAAAGTACTCACAGGCAGCTAAGTAATCCTGTCGCGCGAAATTCCAAAACGTCGCCCTCCGAGCTTTGGAAAGGCCTGACTTCTTGGGCGTTTGCGTTTGATACAGGTTTTCTCCCGGAGACGAACGCTGCTCAAGAGGCATCATACCCACTTCAGCGACATCTAGCAGCGACTTCACGCCACTCAGATGACGATTCCACGCAGGGCCTGCAGCATCGAGAAATTCATACACAGAAAGAATGGCCGTCGCCGCGAGCACCTCATCGGAATGAACTCCATGCGAGAGCCGACTACCAGAGACCCGTCTGCGGCGCTTACGTGGGTTATCCGAATCTACAGAAAGCTCGGCAGCCTGCCATTGACCAAAAGCCTCAGGGGTACTCAATGGAGGTGGACCCTCTGCGTCAGGTTGAAGCTCCTTCATTAAAAGCTGGATGGCCTTTTCATAATATTTGGCTCCATACCAAGCGAAGTCGGGGTCTTTGTCTGGCCACACTTCCATGGCAGCTTGCTGGGTGCAGACTCCACCCACTGATGCCTTAGTACCTTTGATTCGACCCAGCTGTTTGGCAGAATATGCGCAGGCGGCGAATTTCAAGAGCGGATTGGTTCTTGCTCGCACTGGGACGTATGAAGCAAAATATGTCCCTAGGTCGAAGAGATCCATCCTGCAGATATCATCGTTACTCTAAATTCTACGTTGGCAGGTGGTAGAAAACATACCACAGTCCCGGTCCTTCTGAGTAATGTCGCAGAAGGAAAGCGGTCTCGAAATCGGTCTCTGAATTGTCGTCTGGTACGTGATTCAGGAGGCTCATTTGACTCATGTGGCTCAAGCTACTCCGTGAAGCTGCCGATATTGATGAAAGCGCATTGTTTCGGTCAGAGAGATGCATGATTGGGTCGATGGAGGGGGACATCGAATGCGAGGGGTTGAGGAGGAAATTAATATTGGTATTGTTGCTGGTGGACGACAGCGACATGGAGGGCGAAGCTGGGAGTATAGCGGTACTTCGCCGTGGGTTCGGAGAAGTATAGGAGGTACTATCAGAGACTGAATGGTCTAAGGAAGAATAAGGGAAGCGATCATGCGTTGCGACCGCCGACAAGGCTTCCAACCCCTGTGTCTCAGCATCGCTCGTTCGAGAGCTTCCACTGCCCCATCTGTAATTTGGGGAGTCTGTTTGCGCTGCACTTCTTAGATCTACCAGTGAGGCTTCGAGGTCATCTGCGTATGGATCGGAGTTGTCGACGAAGATTACTGCAGAGGAAATGAGCTACCGTCCAACGAAGATCCAGATCCAAGCAAAATGTCCCAGCGATGCCGTACCATGTTTAGGAACATCCAGCCACACGCTATCCTTGTCAAAGGTGTTCTTATACGAATAGAACCCGTTGAGACTACCACGGCCATCTGGGGAGTTCCGGTTCATCGACGCGTTCTGCTGATGGCGGAAAACTACTCCTTCACTCGGACGACATTCTCGGCCACCTTTGCGACACTGTGAACATTCGGGCTTTTCTTCATCACCTAACAACAAATCAGTTGGGCAAAAAGCGGTCGAGAGAACAGATTCATACATTTGAGCTTTCGTGTTCGACACGTTAAGCTGAGTCACGTTAGCAGTGAGCCACACCAGTTGGGCGCATAAACTTACCAGCCGGTTCGTGATCGCATACCGAAATGGCATGAACGCAGGGCAGTAACAACATCCGAGGTAGAGGAAGTGGTCGGAGTTGAGGTTGGGGAAACGAAAACCTGGAGATCGACTTGCGGGGAGAGAACAGGTGACCTGGGGCCCCACACAAATAACCTGAAGGGTTGTGTTCCCGAGGTCAGGTGTTCACGTGATGCATCTTTGAATGAAAATTCACCAGTACACTTTTTCTTAATAAAGTCAGATATTGCTAGCATCGTAGTAATACACTTTTTTTTGAGAACTTTTCTATCAGCAAAAGGGTATTGTATTAATTGTTGTGTCCACAATTGAAGCGTGGCTATCTACATATCTCCAACCTCCCAAGCAACACCAACCCACTCGAGTAGGGAAATAATTCGCTGAAAAGCGTATGGTACATCAACACAGAGGCGTATTCACAATAGAGATTTCAAAGACTGTATTGGCCACATGTGCCAGAAGCCAGGGGGGAAAGTTGAAGATATATCGCGGTATGGCCGGCGCGAAAACAAACACAGGCGAATAGAACAAAGGACATTAAAGACGGCTGGGTATAGCAACGTTGCTTCCGATAAGAGCAAAACAAAAACGCCAGCCTCGAAGCAAACCAGAGGGGTTAGGTGTTTTTGGAGCGAAAGGGGGGCATTAAAGGGCCGGGACACCGGGGTTAGGCTGGTGCAGCGAATTGAAGAGGTACTCAGGCGGCAAACGCTGCATATCGGATGGTCGATCGGTGCCGAAGGTTTGAGGAGCAGCTGCATAGCCCTGGCGGCGGCGCTGTACCTTGTTAAGGATAACACCAGCTAGGACTATGAGGAAGACGCAGCCGAGAGCACAGCAGAAAGCTACCAAGACTGCGATGCCGTTGGAGTGATGTTTTGCTAGGTTAAAAAGTCAGTATTGAGTCCTACAAGAATGAAAGGTCGGTACAACTCACATTTGGTAGTGTACGGGTTTTTCTTTTCGGAGAAGAACTTCGACATGCTGCCCGGTTGGCCATTTGCTTGCTGGGAAAGGATAAATGGAGTGATATCGGTTCCGTTGTAGAGCGCCGCTGATGCATGTCCGAAGCCCGGGATTACAAGCGAACCCATGATCAACAACGTCTGCTCGATACTCAACAGAGCAGCCCCGGAATGGCCATGGCGGACAGGAAGAAGCTCTATATCATGAATGACCGTGCCCTTGGAGAAAAGATTCCCGGGAGATTGGAACTTGGAACCGTCGTAGCTCAAGAAGAACACGGACCCGTTGGTCGCAGTACCGGCAAGCCAGAACTTTGACAAATCTGCACTAGAAGCAGTAAACGTGGTGACATTTCCGGGGAAATCTGACGGGGACGCTCCAGAGAAAGCAGCCCATTTTTCAGCTTTCGCGTCGTAGATGGCAATTGAGGTATTGTTTCCCCCCACATCAAGGTTACCCACAGCCATCAGCTTCTTTTCACTTGCCCAATGAAGGTCAATCACGGTGCCACTTAGGGACGATCCAGGTTGATCCCATTCACCGGTAGCAGCATCCACATAGCAGACAGAATTACATGGGAACTGCCCGACACCTTCGAAGTTTCCTCCAAAGTAGATCTCTGACGAACCCGGTCGATTGACGACGGCATTTACTGAGACATCAGAGCCAGTGAAAAACGGCTGCGTCTGTGAGAACTCGTTCTTGTTCAGGTCGTAAACGACAAGACCTTGCAAAGTAGTACGACCGATGCTTCCGGTGACATTTCCACCCGCATAAAGGGTGTTGTTGTACACAAGCATTGAAACAAATGTTGAGTTACTGTCAACTCCTTGCGGGAGACCTGAAATCTTCTCATCGGCACCGTTAAAAATGGCAATATTTTCAATGGTAGATCCATTGCTGCCAGCGGCAGCAAAATGCCCACCGTAGATGGTGAGATTGCGGCTCGAACTGGTATCATAGGCACCGGTGATCAGACCAGTGCTGGACTTTTGGTGATTAACCTTCATTGATAGAGGAATCAGTTGCAAATCATCGGAATCTAGCAGTGACACCGCACCACCAGCAATGATACCATTGGTGGCAAGGTTGCCTGCCAGAATGAGCGTATTGCTGTGCGAAACAACACTTGACAGTTGACCACCAAATTGCATCTGTGTAACATTAAGGTTCTGGAGCCAGTCCTTGTGGGAAGGAACCCAGATGGCAAACCCAGCAACAGAGACCGCGGGGTTCCCATTGGAAGCAATGATCTGGTCGAAGTCGCCGCTTACAGCAATGATGGTTTCATTGATAGCAACTGATGCATTCAATTCAACAGGCCAGATCGAATTGACAGGACCGTTCAGCCCTGCTCCCAGAGCCGACCACTCTTTGGAAGAGTATGAGTATGCCGCAACGTATTTGAGGTCCTTTGAGCCTGTGTCCGAGGTATCTGTGAAGCGACCACCAACGTACAAGACATTGTCAAGGGTGGCCATTGCTAGTACTGGAGAATTCAACCCAGAGCCTGGCATTGCTGTGACATTGCCGTTGTTAATAGACATGATGTGGTGAATCTTACTGTCCGAGAAGTTACCGGCGACATAAATCACATCATCATGCTGCTTGATGATTGAGACTGTTGCGTTGTGGCCAAGTGAAGTGCCCGCCTTGTTGATGTCCGACTTGGTAAAATCCGAGGTTTCAGTCTTGGAGGTCGGATCATAATCATAGAGTCCATTGAGACCGCCAGTGCTGGACAGTAGTTCAAATCGGACACGAGACGCAACAATGGTGGTATCTCCTTGGCCATCCTTGGCCCGCAATGTAACTTTTGGTCGGAAGGAGTCACTGTTGGCGTCAACGTACCCAGTATATATTGTGTCGTACTTGTCGTGGCGGTTGGTCTGGTAGAAATATGATAGATCAAGCTGGTTGGAGTCAGATCCACTCGAAAGGGTAGCCGTGACATTAACGATGCCCCGTGAGCTGCAAGAGTTGTCCTGGGTGCAGCCGGGGGTATATAGCTTGATGGTATAGTTGCCAGATTTCTTCACGTCAGGCTCGAAGGTGACGGATGTAATCAAGGCATCAGAATCAGTCACCTTTGCAGACAAAAACCCAGACTCGATAGTCCATGAGCCGGTGCGCGTTGACTTGGCAGGGTATTCAATGCCTGAGCATGTCGGCTCGTTGTATTGGTCGACAGCGTAGGTTATGATTTGATCTTGAAAGACTTCGATGCCGTTCAGACCAGCTCCTTGTCCGTACCAACTAAGAACCTCAATCTGGAGTCCTTGCATACCAACGGTATTAACCATGGTAAATTCACGGTACTTTTCACTCGTGCCGCTAGAGAGCGGGCACAATGAGTCACAACTAGCCTTATTTCCTGACTCGTCGATGTAAGTCAGATTCATAATACCGTTGTCGGGGATCGCTCGAAGTAAAAACTCCTTGGTACCGCGTCCATCCAAGTGAGTGTTGTAAAGGCGGATTTTAGTCGGGAAAAATTCGAAACCGAGGTCTGCTCTCCAATATCCCGGCGCGTAGTCGTGTAGAAGGTAGGTCTTGCCTTTGGCAGCCTCTCCACTTGTCGAGCAAATGATGTTACGAGGATCGGAGTAGCCGTCCAAAAAAGAGTCTGCATCGGATGTGATGGTCGCATTTTGAAGGTTGAGAATTTGTCTTTCGTTTGAGGAGCTGGTGCTGTTCCCAAGGGCGTCAAAAGATCCCCCAAAGATGATATGGCCATTGTCAGCTTTCAAAATCGAGCTGACCGGACCATTCAGGCCATTGAACGGGAGATTAGTCCAGCCATTGTCAGGCGTCCACGCAACAGCGTTAGTCGTGTTGTCGTGAGTGAATTTTCCCCCAACGTAGACGCAGTTGGTGTCCTGGTCGCAAGCCACGGCTGCTACCGAGCCCGAAAGGCCCGGCAAGGCAGTAACTTTGCTAGTATTCGGGTTGAAGAGAGCAGCACCGGGCGAATCGACTCCGCCCAGGCTAGTGAAGTTACCACCGACAAATATCCCGGCGAATTTTCCATCTTTTTGAGTGAATGGGCACATTGCCATGATCTGCCCATTGGCGGACGAAAGGTTTGTGAGAATGTCGTTCGGTAGTGGGGTCAGAAGGGCTTGGGTGCCATCGGGAATTGATTCGGTTTGTTCTTTATATTGATAGAGAGAGACGCCGTCGAAATCACCAGTGATTGATACCCGTCCCAGCGAGGTCAGGTCCAGTTCTGGAACGGAGACTGACTCGAATGACAAGGCGTTGAGAGTCGGTAAAAGCGCGAGAAGCGAGGGCCAGCCGGCCGCCGCAGGCCCAAACAATGAAGAGATCCTCATTGTCATGGGAGCGACGACGGGCAAGAGAAGTGTAGATGGCCAGTTGGAATGGCTGAAGCGAGTGTGGGAAGACTAGACAGGGCTGTGCTGTCCAATGAATTAATTCAGGGAGGCCAGGCCGTCAGGCCGCAACGTGTGGAGAAAAGAACGTGATAAAGAATGTAGCATGAAAACTAACTTGAAAGTAAAGGAATGTAAATGAATGAATATTGCTCGAGACCGAAGCCTCACTGCATTTTAGTATTAACGAATGACTAGATATGAAGGTGAAGGGAACCCAGGGGAAGACCCAGTATGCTTGTTTTTCGAAATTGAAACGGCAATACTTGAAATTACATCTCCCAAATTAAAAATACGACAATCTCCACGCTAATGCACTTCACAACCCACAGGCAGCCAATGAGAATGGCTATGTCCAGCCTCCCGTTTAAAATAGTGGGGAGCTATGGGCCA